AGTCTGGGGGAGTGCTGGGCTTCAGCCGCCCTTTGCGCTTAAGAGCCTCTGGGGAGGAGTTTCTGCAGCGCCCACTTTTATTTTGCTTTTTTAAAATTATGATTTTTCTCTGAATTTTATTTCTTTTAGAAGCCTCTGTCACCCTGTTTGTTTCCTCCCTCCCCCCCCTTTCTGCTTCACCTCGGAGAAAACAGCTGCTGTCTTTCCCCAGGAAATGAAAATACCGTGTTTTGGTTGCTTGTTCTTTCTCTCTCTGGGGCAATGGGAGTTGGGGAAGGCCTCCCTGTCTCAGCTGGGCAAGCTGCATTTGTGTTTGCCCCCATTTTCCTTCTAAATCTTTCTTGTGCCTACCAAGTATGTTTGTCAACTTCTGTGAGCCTGTCCTCTTTGTATAGCTTACTAGAGTGTCCTGCTATAAAGCATTGCTGTGAAACAAGTTTCCTTTGCTTCTTAAATCCTACTACTCGGTCCACTGCTGTGCTGCTCATAATTTGTGAGTGTCATGTCACAGTTTTGTTTCTCCTTTTGCCCCGTAGCTGGTGTTTCAGTGCTGGTTTGTTGCTGGTGTAAATCCATTGCGTTCTTCTCCAAGCTTGGGAAGCCATAGGACTGTTTTTACGGATGCGGTGTTTAGACTGGCAGCCCAGAGGCTTTTCTCCCCCGTTGCCTGGGGCATGAGTAAAGGAACAAACTAAAGTAACCCCTGTTGTGAGAGACCTGGTAAACTTCACTTCAGGGCTTGCTTACAAGAAGGAAATGCCAAAATGCAGAACTGAAGCTGATGCGGCTGAATCTCTTAGTGCGTCTGTGCTTTGCATTGCGATCATTTTATCTTGGTGTTTTCTTCAACTCAGCCATGAACCCTGTGTGCATCTCAACTGATTCCCCCTTTTCATACTGTGAAAGCTGATGTTTCTTTGACATCTGTTCTTGTCTTGAGTAACATTGCTCATGTCATACCAGCGTGGTCTTCTGTTTGAACTATTGCACATGCAGACTGAATACTGGATGGTTTTTTACAGAGTTTTTGACTTAGATTAGTGAATCAGTATGAGAGAAGAAATCTTGCTGTATTAGTGGTAATAGTATCTTAAGGGTATGGATCTTGTCAGCACTTTTTTGGTTTTGGCCAAACTGCTGAAAAAGTGTGAGTTGCCTTTAACTAGGACAAGAGTCCAAATCTTTTGGGAAGCCAGAAGATCTGAAGAATAACTTTATAATTTTAGGGTCTTGTCCACCTTTCCTGTATTGTAGGTATCTTCCATAGTGGAGGACTGACATAGCAAAAGAAAACATTTCTCAGTCCTGGTTACTAACTATCTGTGTGTGAACGACTTTGTCCCTCATCAGTTTGTGCTGTCAGAGCCTCGGGTGTTACTCTTGTGCAATTGCACAGATAATAGCACTGCTTTGGAGTTTGGATTTGTTTCCTGTGTTCTGATACCTGACTCAACACTCACTTCCTAGTGTTACAGAGTTGTTTCAGTGATCCCTCGCCTTCCTCTCCTCTGGTCAGCCAAAAAGTAGCCCAGAATGGCTTGTCACTTGAAGCAGGGCTGAGAATGGACCCAGCAGGCTGCCTGGCCAGCAGTCTGGCAGGGTATTTTTATAGTAATTCTCTAGAGGGAGTGAGGTCAAGAAGTTGCTCTACTCTGGGAGATGGTGCAGTGAAATTAGGTGGCTGAACACTGTTTAATGAAAGTCTACACCTCTTCCAGTAGGACTGAATTTCCTCTTGGCCTTGCACTTGGTATTTACATAACAAACTTCCTCTTTAGTTCTCGTCAACAGTCATCTTTGAACACAGTCATGTTATTTAGGTATATACACTTTGTTTACTAAGAATATAATAATTTTTAAATACAGGTCTGACTGTAAGCTGTTTTTCACATGTCTTTTCTCCTAGTGTTTTGAGCTTTGGTAACTTTTTCTTGTAATGCTTGTGCTCTAGGCTGAAGAGAGCAGTAATGCTAACTCTGGCAAGCAAGCTGAAGCGGGACGATGGCGTCAGAGGACCCCGTGCATCCAATCCAGCATCTGATTCAACTCGGAGAGTGTCAGTTCGAGATAAATTGCTTGTTAAAGGTGAAAGGAACTTACATTTAAAATTTCCAGGATTTACACTTCTCAATTCTTCTGCCAGGACATGATAAAAAAGTTCAGTATAAAATCATTTCCGGAAATATTTCTAAATTGTTTTTTTTACCTTATGATTTGCACTGTGCACTGTATATTGGTATATCTCAGATCTTCACCAACTTCTTGGCTGTAGGACACTAGCTTTTGTTAAAATTATGCCAAAGTTAAAAAGCATTCTGCACACTCTATTGACAAAATAATCCATCCTTGGGGAACTACACTGTCTCTTCAGTTAAACACTGTGGTCAGGTGTTGGCACTTAAGTGTTCCTGAGTATGTAGGAGAAGGAATATCAGATTTGGCTTGACAGGAAGGTAATTCTTTGCGCAAAAACACAACTTCTTGTGACAGTAAAGAATGTCCTGAAAGTAACATCCGTGTTCTGGTAATCTTCGATGACATAAATCAGAGGCAGTCAACTGTGAAAGGCCAGCGTAGCCTTCCAGAAAGGCTGGTGGAGGGAGGCTCGAACTATCTGGCTCTGCAATGGTGGGAAAAGCTTTTACTTTACAGCAGTTCTGCATAAAGAAGGCTGTTAGCAAGACTGACCAAATATGCTGTTTTACAGTAAAATTGGGGAGAGGACTTTTTTCAGTTTTTCTCCAATACAAATAATCTTATATTTTAAAGTTCACAGATACCAATACTTTGCAAATGCTGTGGTTTAACTCTGGTTTACTCCCTGCAGTAACCATTGGGTGCTGTAATGTCCAAGCTGCCCAGCTTTGTCTAGTAGCAAGGTGTGTGTTGTTCATGTTGATTTTTCTATTAAAAATAGTCAACAGTGAAAATACAACTGTTGATGCTTAAGCTTGTGCGGTTATAGTTCATGCCATTCCATCGAATTATTCAAGTTTTGTGGTCTTATTTCAGAAGGACTTCAGAATGATGCTTGTGCATCTGCTTGGATGGCATTGCCCACCTATAGTGCTACAAATGGCTTTTTGTAATAAGTTGGAGGGGTTGCTGTGTGGCTGTACACTGAGGGAAGGATTCCTCTCAAGTTGTATTCAGTGCCCTGAGAAGCATCTCAGGCAGACCATGGACTGTTGTTGTCACACTCTTATCTCTTCTTCTAGGATTGTTCTAAGGATTGGGAGCATTAATGCATTTTAAACCCCTTTTGCTTGTTTGTTTCAGACTTTAAGTTTGGGGATTCTCATTTGACTAATTTGGGGGTGGAGAGAGGGCAGGTAGGCAGTACTGAACAGGAAGAATAAACTCTTCAACCAGTCTAAGCTGCAAAGCCAAACTGCTAAAATATATAATCTGTTCTTATATTAGCCTACAAGTGTAGATTAAAGGGAAAAAATACTAGCATAATATTAACACACTTGAGTTACACTAGAAAGTGAAGTACCAGAAGTATAACTCTGCCCTTAGTAAGAGCAGTCACATTTCTCACACTTTAAGAGTAAAACTTTATTTGCAGTCTTTCTCCTCCTGCAGAGGTAAGGGGTATGAAATTAATACTGACATGGTTATTGCCATTATCACCGTTAGCAAACAGCAGCTGACCAAGTATTGAACAAGCTGAGTCCCAAGCTCCAGGTGTTCAAAGCAAGTCGCTGCAAGCATCTGTCCAACAAATGTGAATGTTGTCGGGTCTGGCTGTGAGAATTGTCACGTGGCTCTCTAAAGAGAAGTGTACAAGCAGCTATTGGTCTGTTTAGAGTGACTTTTCTAGACCAAATTGGGAACTGAGGGTAGAAGTAGGTCACTTCAGTATAACCCCACTGAAAGCGAGAGAAAAATCAAGTAGCTGTATCAAAGATGGCTTTTCCCAGGTCTCTTTGTAGCCATGCTTTTTACGAGATGTAGGCCAATTGCAAAATTGGTCAAGTGGCTAAGGACAAAAGCTTCTAGGACTTGCAGCAGTTGTCAATACTGGGTCACCTGAAGCAGCATCTTCAGTGTTGAGTGAAGGGGGGACTTCTAATACTGGTAGTTTTAAAATTATTTTGTCTAGATCTGCAGGAGTGAAGAGCTGCCTATGACAGAGGCTCCCATTGCACACAAAGCAGTGCATGTCTTCTGCTGTTTTGTTGTATACAACTGTGGTAACCTGTTTATGTGCTTAACTTTAAGCCTTAAAAAAAAGCAGTTTTAGGCAGAAACTCTCCCTGAGACCTCAAACATAGTAGCTGCAGAATGGGTGGAAGGGTAGGGTCAGTTCTCTGGCAGCTGTGAATTAAATAGTCCCTGCTGTGTGCATAGAGTCTAGTGCAGAAAGGCAGAGTGGGATCTGTTGCAGGCTGTGTTGGTACACTGCTAGTCCTGCATCCTCAAATGTATTGTACAGAGACTTGTAAATTAAATGATGCCTATTTGTTTATGGAGATGAATGATTATGACTCCAACTGCTGATAAATGTAGATGGTACTTAGCAAATTCTGAAAACTAAATGTAAATTAATTCTGTATGTTTGCTTCCTGATATGGCCTTTATGTGGGGGGTAAAAAGTGATAATCTAGGTATAACTACTGAGGAGAAAACTTCACGTCCCAATTTGAAATATTTTTGCTAAAATTGCAGACGTGAGTTACTGACTGTGATTGACTGCTGTCCTTGGATGGAATGAAATAGGATGCTGCTTTTTGCACTTTTGTGAAAAAGTTACTCCTAAAATAATGGGGCCCTTTGTGACCTGAGACATCTTAAAAGAAGCTCTCTAAAATCACTAAGGGTAGAAGCCTCTGAGGGGTAAGGGTGGACAAGGACCAGTAATTTAGACTGCCAATTCCTGGAGAGAGGCTTTATAATCAAGAAGGGATGAACTGGAAAGAGACCAAGTGGTGACTAACATGCATCAAGACAAATTAAATGGGAAATGTGCAGTTGAAGGGGGAAAAAAGTAAATATTCTTGCAGAGAGGGGGAAATAGGCAGAAATCATGTGTATGAAGAGGTTCTGCTGCCTCTCCTTCAGGGAAGAGAGACTCAAATAAAACACAACTTTGTTAAAAGCTCAGTGTGACTCATTCTTGCATCTCGTAGCTGGATTTTCAGTATAGGCTCAGCTGGAGACTAGGACCTTAATTCTGCAGGCTTGGTATGTGAGTTAGAGTAGAGCAAGCATTGCACTTGGCTTTAGCAACTTTCAACTTCTCTGCTGAGAATCTCCTTTTGAGTTAAATTCCTTCAAATTGATAGTGTGCACACAAACATTTTTTAATGCTAAAACAACTTAGTTCCCCTCTACGGATGAACTTTAAGGTAGGAGTAGTGGCCGGTGCCTGCTCCTGTAATGCTCAGGGCCTTGTGCTGAACTTGAAAGGCCTCTCCTTTTTTTGAAAGTTTGAAAGCAGCTGAGGACAGCAAGCCAAAGTACTATATAAGGTTAACATTATATAACAGGCATTGAATTAAGAATAAATGCCAGAGTGTCAGTACCACTGACGTGTATGCGTATTGATCACAGAGGCTTTCACTTCAGCTGCTTTTTTCTTCCATCTAAATGTCAGTCAGTTTTATGTTACCAGTGGTGTTTTGTTTATTTATAAATGACATCTTGAAGTTACTTGGTTTACTAGGAAAAAAAGTTAGCGTGGTTTATCCCTCGGTGGTCTTCATGGTACATGGGCTTTACAACCAGATTTTTAAAAACTGAAAATGTGTCAGGTGGCTTTTGTAGAAGCCCAAGGCAGTAAAAGGAAGAGTGAAACTTACTGTATAAAAACACAGATAAGTGGGCAGACTAAATAAAAACAAGGGAAATCAATATATTAACTTATTTCAGACCTGCAAGTACAGTAATGCTCGTTGTCACAATAGTAGGTGAGAAAATTAAGAGGAGAGGAAGAAGATAGCACCTTTCTTAGGATTTTTTTAATCATCTTTAATTTGTTAACACTGAAATTATGAGTTTTTTTAATGCTTCTGTTTATTGAAAAGAAAATACTAACCATATTGTATAATGATGCTTTTGAGTCCAAATAAATAAATCCCATATTTTAGAAGAAGGCATTGGAAACTTTTGTGGTAAATAAGTGATTAGTATTTATTAAAGGGAAAACTAGTGGTTTACAATAAAACACTTGCAGTGTAACTGTGATTGACATACTAAAGCTAGCAAGATACCAGGGGATTTGAAATTAATTCAAAAAAGTATCACCAAGATACTTCTAGGACTGGCAAGGGAAAGCTTGGCTCAGTGAATTATTTCAGCTCTTAGGCTCTGCTTTGCAGTATACCTGAAGAAGGAAGTAAAATGATGTATTTCAGTGTTTGTTTTCCTCTATTTCTAACCCCAGTGGCTTGTTCTAGCTATTGATGCCAGGGTAATAGCTTTTGCAGCATAGATAATAATGCATAGAAGCTGAAGCATGTGATTTGATGTTATCCTGATGAAAGTAATCATTTGAAGAGGAAGGAATCCCTGAATCTCTTAATATATTTAATAACTGGTGATATTAGGTGAATTGTTTGACTTACAACTGCGAGATTGGTGTTTTTATAAGGTATGGAGGAGCTAAGAACAAAAAGCTATGAAGATGGATGGGTAAGAATTGTGTTGCTAGAATTAGAAGACAGAATTTTGTTTTATTTTATCTTTTAAGAGTTTCAAGGTCTGTCTTCACCTCAAACAATCTTAAGATGTACATTGAGCCGGGAGCAAGCAGTGGAGGGGATTTTTGGATGAAGCCAACGCAAAATAACATTGCAGATGAGAAAAACACTAGTTGCTTTTGAGGAAATAATGCTTTCAGTTTGCGTGCTTAAAAGCAAGCTGCAGTGGGAAGCATCTGGCTTGGCTCTTGATGGCAGGACAGCAAACAAAGCACTTCTATATTCTGACTTGTTGCATTGAGCTGGGGGCAGGGGAAGGAGCAGAGCAACTTTTGATTATAGCTTGTGTGTTATGTAGTCTAATGTTCCTGTGGTATGTCATAAACTGTATGTTTGTACACATGTCAAGGGTGTGCATTCCCATTTCTGGCCTGAACTGTCATGGGTAGGGGAAATTAATCATTTGTGAAATCACCAATGTGTAGCTTTGGCTGTTCGTTTTTAGCTTTTTCCCCTGTTTTTGTAGGGTTCTCGAGCTGTTTCTGCAGCATCACCAGTTTGTGTTCAACTTTTCCGAAGTCTGTGCAACGCTTAAGTTTACCCGCTGCGTTCTTACTCTTTCTATAGCTCAATGGCATTTGAAACTCTGGGAGCAGCTGAAGGGTGCATGCAGGAAGCACTGTGCAGTGTGACTCCTGGTTACCTGTGGCTGTGTTGTCCAAATTGCAGATTATCCCCTCTGGATGGGAGCCAGCTCAGGCCCTGTAGAATTTGTTGGCTTGGGCAGGTGCTAGGTCCAGAGCACCACTCTGCGAATACACATGCCCCTTGGGCTTGCTTCTGCACTGGATCTAGCAAGGCTTTAGAGGCATGGAGCAAGCTTGGATCTGTAATGGCTGTATTTGAGTCTGTCCCCAGCAGAAGCTCTGGCACGTGTCTGCGCTCGCACCGTGGCCTTTTGGACCTGCCTGGGACAGTTTATCGGCGTGGGTGCTGGGTCTTGCAGCCCTCTGGCACTTGCTCTGCCTTGGCAGCCAGCCCTCTTGACAGAGAGAGGAATTCAGATGCTCTGCAGTATTTCTGCAGCACTGCTGGGCCAGCACTGACCTGAGTCAGCAGGCGTTGATTTCTAATGGAAGTTTTTCAATTTTTTTTTTTTGGGGGGGGGGCACTGTGTTTGTGTAAGGTGGACTGTTCAGTTGTCTCTCTCTGCATCTTAAGGAATGGTGGGGTGGCCGTTACAAATGGAGAACACTAGCCATGCTTCTCCTTAAAGTATTGCTTGCGTGAAGTGCTTAAATTCGGATTTTCGTAAGTCTTTCTATAGAAACTGTTGCTTACTGGAAGCGGAGGTCAGTGCATGCGTGGGATTAGGTTTGTTTTAGTTTAGTGAGGTTTCTGAAGCCCTCTGAAGTTCAGTGTGATTGAACTCTAATAGTTGCTTCTAAATTTTCCTTCTTTACAAATCCGTTAAGACATCCAAAAAAGTTGGCACAGTGCACAAGACGCATTCACTTATGAGGAGTGTATTTTGACGAGGCTATTGCTTTTTGTAGGCAATATATAAGGCAGAATACCAGGATCTTGATGAAATTCAAATTGTATGGTAAAATGCTCTTTTAAAGCAGCAAAACATAAAAATGACATCAATGTAAAGACTTGTCAAAGATGCATACCATTTGAAAAAAACTTGCAAATGCTCTGGTTTTGGCCCTGTAAAATGTGCTTGTTATTGTTGATCACCCCTATTAACATGGTGCAGGTGGTAACATCTATTTCCTGACTTTGCTGCTGATTAAAATTTTAGATGGTTGAAGCAGTTAAGGATAGAGCTGTTTGTTGTTTTAGTGGTTTGTTGCTGAGTTAAAAACCTTTATTTTTGGTGGGACCTTGACTCACAAAATTTTCATGTACGCTATAGCCTGTTTGTTTGCACACCTTGAGAGAGCTTGCTGTTCTGTACTTGTGCCTGGGTGCATCTTCGTTTTTGTGCATTTGTAAGAAAACAGTTTTTGTACCAAAACAAAGGGAAACACTGAAGTCTGAATGTTTTGCAGGTAATTTTAAAACCCGTGTGAGTAGTGAACTTCCTGCTGAGTGCTGCAGAGGTGAAGCAGTGGCTCAGTGGGGCTGCTGCTGCCGCCTTTGCTCAGATTTGGTTCTCTGAATTCTCCCCTTTCCCCTGCCTGCCCTTTGCTCAGGTGGGATTTGTTAAGTCGAACGGTTCACAAGGGAAATGATAAGGAAAAGGAATCAACAGCCCTCAAAAAAACAGGCCTGGTCCTAAACTTCCCCTGCAGTGTGAGCTGGTGATTCCTCCAAATACTTGAGGCTGATGAATATGAAGGTGATGAGCTGGGGAGGGAGGTGAATTCTGATGTGGGTGCTTAACTGCAACACAAGGTTGCTTACCGTCTGCACTGGTAGCTGAAGCATTTTGGGCTGCTTCAAATTCTATGTTCTTCCTTTCTGCTTTCTTGCATGCACATACTTTGGGGAAAAATTGTAAATTGTGATTTGTCTTTCTCTCCCACCTCCTGAAAGTAAAAATCTTTGCATATATTGAAACTGCATTTTTTGCTTGTTGGAAGGATTACACTCTGAAAACTTTAAATGTAAGTAGGTCCTCAGTATAATGTGTATATTAGTACCAAGTTTTTGGTTAAGTCAGTTACAGTTACTCAAATGCTGCTGAATGTAGAATTTTAAAGTGCAGTTATGAACTTTTGATGCAGAAAGCATGATACTCTTTGCTGGGCTCCTCAGTGAACTGTTACTTGGTGCAGCAGGCTGCAGACATGGGGATACACAAGTGCAGGCTGCTGTGCCAGAAGCTGGCTGGGAGGGTTTATCTTTTCATATTGCTTTAATGCTCCTAATGCCGATTTTTCCAGGCAGAGCAATGTCTGGTGTGAGCCTGGCCTTGCACAGGAGAGCAGGGAACAGGTCAGTGAGAGAGGGAAAGCTGATGAAGGCTGCAAGAGGAGACAGAGTAGGAATCCGGCAGCAGCCATGCAGCAGGATTTCGGCAGATTATGTAGGGAGAGGATGGAGCATCCCAAACACTTGAGAAATCCTTGCCTGGAACCATGCTGTCACTGTGTAATCTGCTAAAGTGGGCAGCTTTGCCCTTATGCGTTTGAAGAGCCCTGTGTAGACTGGCTTGGTGTGGGGGTTGGATAAGGTTGTCTCTTGAAGCACCAGCCATCTGTGTACGAGAAGCCCTGGTGCTTTAAACTTGGTGGAGCTGAACCTTTAATCACAGCAGGGTGTTTGCATTGTCTGTAGGGCAGATGAGCATTTTTAGCAATGAATCACTGGGTAAGGTGTGTGACTTAAAGGGGAATTTCAAGGTAAATCATCTGTGCTCCTTAGTTTTGTTTTTCAGGATAAAATTTTATTTACTAGGTAGTTTAAATTAGAAGATCTGCCAATTCAGACTTCAGGAATGGCTTTATACTTGCATAAATAACTGTTTTTTTTTTCTCTCTCTCAACAGAGGTTGCAGAACTTGAAGCTAATTTACCTTGTAAGTATAGTATTTAATGGCATGCATTTTGAGGAGAAAAGCTTTGCTCACTGTGATTGTTTCAACTGACATATGAATGCTAATGACATCCCTTTTCTTTAGGGAAAGCCATACCTTGCTCCTATCTCTTCCCTTCTCTCATAGCTTCCAAAACAAGAGTAGCTCAGTTCTCAGGAAACCCATTAAACCAGTCTATTGTCTTTTCATTTCACATGAGATGTAATCTGAAATGCTTGTTAATAGTGGGAATGGTCATAAATACTAAAAAACAGAATCCATGTTCCTAAAAAAAAAAAAAAGAAGATACTCTGCTTTTAGCCCTGGGATCTCCCTTTCATGTTTGTTTTTGTTACAAGCAGACATTACTAATGTTCCCTTTAAAGTAATAAAATAATATTTTAGGCCAGTCTAGTGTCTTTTCATTTCACGTGAAATGTAATCTGAAATGCTTGTTAATAGTCCTTTAAAGTAATAAAATAATATTTTAGGAAATAGTAAAACAGATTTTTAAAAGTACATGGTAAGTAACATGTTGCTTCTGAAGCTGAGGATAAAATAGTTAATTTCTTGATCCTGAGAGAGAAGCTACTTCAAGAATGGGCAGCAAAATGAAAAGCCTTTTATAAAAGGGAATGAAGTTCCCAAGGCTCTGCAGTTGTTGCTGAGAGGGGATGTTGACAGTAAAACTGAGCTGTTGCCGAGCTCTCCTTGCCTTCAAGCATAGACCAGGGCAGCAGCATTTTGTGTCTGAGCGATTTTGCAGTGCATGCTTGGGATATGGACAAGCAAAATAAATGATTGCATGGTGCGCTTAGAGGCATCTTTAGAGCCCATTGCTCGCTCCGTGAAGCTTCTTGTGCTGCGTCTTCTTGTTTGAGTAGTGCAAGATGCTTCCCAAGCAGGGGAAGAGGTGTGAGCAGCAGTCTGAGAGTATGTGTGCAGGTTCTCACTGTGCCGGCTTACCTGCGCGCTCGTCCTTCAAAAGAAAGCAGTGAATATTCTCCGTCACTATACTGACAGGTAACTCGAGATGTTTCTGGTGTTCCCAGTCTGAGGGAAGCTTTGCTCACCATTTTTGGTTTAGACCCCTGAATGTTGTGTCTTTTTGGTCTCTCTGTTTTTGCAAGGCCTTTTAAATCCAGATCAGCTCTTAGATCTCAAAACCAACCACCAAAAATTCCTCCTTTTCAGTATATAGGTTCTGATGGGAAAAACTAGGAGCAGAGCAGAACAGAATCTTCAAAGGGGGAAGACATGAAGAAGCATTACTCTTCCTTTAGTTATCCTCGTCTTTCTTGGACAGTCCTACTGAAAGCTCGCACAGAGTTATTTTAGCTTTTTGTTATATTTCATTGCAGAGACTTTTTATTGGATAATGGATGCTAGAGGAGCACCTCAGTGTTTAGATATTACAATGCAAATACTTAACTACACTTTGTAGTTAAAGTGTAGTTAACATCAGTTATATAGTATGTTTTTCATGCAGATGAGGTGTGCATCTCTAGTGCTGTTTATTTTCTTGACGAAGGCAAAAAGGACAGCCAGCTTGCTAGATTCAGAAGCTTAAGGCTGCCTAATATGGATCTTAATGCATCCATGGACATAGGCCTATTCTAGTGCCAGCTTGACAGCTTGACTCTGCTGTGCTCAAGAAAGGCTATTTTTGTGCCTGAGAAGGGTTTGTGTCATCAGTTGCAAACGATGGGCTGCTGTGTTGTAAAGTTCCATCTGCTGGATGGAAACCATTGACTAATTTCATTACCGCTGCCAGACAACCTCTGATGTTGTTGTCCTCTTCACATGTGTTCATTCTAGTTATTCTCCTTCGACTCATAGAGTGTGAGAATGCAAACAGTGTTTAATTTGTAAGGCTGCTCCACCAGCTTTGTGTGTAACTGCTTACACAGCATATAAAACACATACAAAGAAAGCTTGCCCTGGTAGTTCTCTTTCACATTTGGAAGGTGCTCAAGGAAAGCAGTTAAGTGTTGGAAGGCTGTAGTAGAGTAAGGGCAAGCACTTAGTATGTTTGGAGATACCAGATTTGAAGCTCTTTAGGATTGCATAGGATAGAAGTGTATAGTAGCTGTGCATGCCTCGGCAGGCGAGCTGGAATGCTGTGTATGCCTGCCGGGTCTTTGCGTTCCTGGCACTGTCAACAGCTGGTTCTGGAGTGGTCACTTCATCAGATTCAAGTAATTCCGGGCTGATTGTGCTGCCCTGAAAAAGAGAAGCATTGCCTGATGGATTAAAATGTGCCAGATGCCAGGCAGAATGATAACTTCTTTTAGAGCACATTTCTCTAACAAAAAACTATGCAGCTGTGCTACATGGACCTCTCCTTTTCATTCTAATACAATAGGTCCCATGTTATTAAATGATTTTGAGAATTTTTTGAAGGGACAGTTTAAGGATCTGATAGCCTAATGTGATTTTGGAATTCATTCTTGGATTTAATGAATTAGGCTAATTAGAGCTAGGAATTCATTCTCACAGCTCATGGAATGAAATGCCGTTGGTACAGGTGAGTTGCCATAAAGGAGTCTGAGCAGTAACCCTGTGGGAAGGGGGCCCTTAGCATAGGAGCTCAATTAACTGGAATGTAAGAATTAATTGGGGAGCAAGCTTAGAGTATATGAAAGATGATATATTTGTTTTAGTAATGGTAGAAGTAAAATTGTTTGATGCAGACGTATTTTCTTTGCAGGTACATGTAAAGTGAATTTTCCCGACCCAAACAAGCTTCATTACTTTCAGCTAACTGTAGTCCCAGGTAACTTTCTAAACTTGTTTTTGGTTTTGAGTGGTTGTTCAACAAACCGAAGTCAAAGATTTTACTCAAAAATTGAATAAAATATTTTGACAATAGTATTTAAAAAACTGTGCGTGTAATATAGCGACTGTAGCAGCAGGGGAGAAATTAGGTTGGATTTTTGACAGCCAAGTTCCATTGGAAATAGTGGTTAAAATTAAGCAAATACAGGAATTGTTCAGGTCCTGCTTGTTCACTTTGATTGAAAAAAAATTTTTCCTCTCAGCCAATTTTGCCCCTGATTTTATTTGCTGAGGGAAAAATCTCAGTCAATGCTTGGAGAAATTACTGTATTACAGGCCCTGTTATGTTGCAGATTCATTCTTTTCCAATTGCTTGATTCTCTAGATTTAAAAGGAAAGATGACAGATTCAACATCGGTATAAAAGTTCAGATATATGCATGCTTGAAGGCATCAGATATGTGTGAGTCTTAGTCCTTGAATGCTGAATGTGGAAAATAGACTTTTTGGTACTGATACCACTTAGGTATACTGTGGAGCTCCTACTGGCATGGTATTAAATATAAATGAAGACTCAGGAATACTTTTTCAGAATTCATTATTTCCAGGTGAGTTTCTTAATAGCTATCTGAAATGATGGAGCTTGTTGCACATACAATTAAGGCTGTCAATTTTAGAATGCGAAGTTGAGTTTTGTGGATGAAGGTCTGTGGAAGATCCACTAAAACTTCAGGCACATCTCCTATCACTGCTACATCTTCTTTTTGAGACTTTGTGCTGCGTTTTTAAGCATGAGTATTTACCTATGCAGGAACTGTAAAATGTCCAAGCTGCTGCTGCTGGGATCAGCACTTTCCTGCCAACTGGTTTCTATAGGTCTGCATTTTCTGTATTAACAGCAGAATTATGATGCAATGCTACTTGTGCTGTCTTAACTGTACAAATAATGGCTTTCACTTGAGGGATGCAAGCTTGTATATAGGAATGCTCCCCAAAATCCAGTCTCTTGATACTAAATGGGCACTAGATGTCACTCTTGTTATTACTTTGCTGGAATCAACTAGCTCTTACTGGCAGAAGAAATTCTGGGTGGTCTTTGTCAGGATGCCCCTTCATGTAACTTCTGTGATGGAAAAATGAGGGAGGAAAATGCTCTATTCAGTATAATCAAAATAATAAATGAAAGTGGGAGTATGGAACTGCTAACACCTCATTCTGTATAGGAGATATGTTCCCATGTATGTGATGAATGCTGGTCTGTTCATCCATACCAATTATTTGTTCTCTTTTATGTGATACACCTTCCTGTAGTTCAGAAATGAGTTGACTTTACAAGGTCATTCTGATGCAAGTCAAGAATGTCTTAGATGTGAAGCAATGGTAGCTTTATATTAATATAAAAGTGCCTTAATCTAATGAGTTAGTCTCTTAGTCTCCTAACTGTTGGAAAGGTGGTGTAAGGCCTTGCAGTGCATGGATTTTGTGCTAGCTTCATTGCTGAAATGATCTTGGGAATGAGATGATCTTAATTAACATGTTGTTACTCTAAATATAGCTGCACAGCTGAAGTCTCTGCAGTTGCAGTCTGGCCGAAGTAAACATCTATTTTCAGCTGTGCATAATTCAGGTACAGAATCTTGTGATCAGCTGCAGCTTAGCACAGCTCGCTGAAGGCAGGATATAATGCATAACAAGAAAATCTCTGCAGCTTTCTGATTAGTTTTATTATTGTAAAAGTCTTGCTCTATTGTGTTCTAAATCTTGGTTCTCTCTGGGATAGCAGAGGCAGCCAGGTGGTTCCCATTTTGTTTTTTTTTTTTTTTTTTCCTGACTCAGATGAGTAAAAATTCCAGCTAGAAGCACCTGTTATAATATCTGAACATTGTTACACAAATCTCCACATTTATAGGGGAGCGGCCTTTTTTTCCTTGTGCCTGGAATCCTCTCTAGTGCTGAGTAGTTGAGTTACTTCTAGAAACTCAGCTTGTACATCTGGCTCCTACGGGAGCGCTTCCAAATAGCTCTGCAGCTCTCTGATTGCAGAGCAGGCGCGGAGCCGAGCCCGGCTGCTGCTGCCAGGGAATACTGAGCGCTGCCTTCAGCGCTCGCTGCCCGGCCCTGTCTGGTAAGCAGGGCAGGCAGGTTTGATACTCTGCGTCGTGAGGAGCTGCTTGAAGACCCCCTTCTTAGGGTTCACCCCTAAGGTGGATCATTTGCTGTTGCAGTGCTTGCATCCTTTGGAAAACTGGTAACAGCGTCGTAACCGTGATGTTATCCTGATAAAATATTTTATGCTCAAGTTATTTCATATTTTGATTAGGACAAGAGCTTGCATTCTCTAAATGTAAATTATGAAACCAGGACAGTTTCTCACAGTAGCTGCTGGTCAGGGTACTGTGCAGGTACCAGCTGAGCCTGCTTTTTAACCTAAAGAATGACACTTGTGGTTAGTGCCCATATGTCTTTTTATAGGCAAAGTCTCTCCCTGGGGACTGTTTTATGCAGTCGTGTTGGCTGGTTGTGAATGGATAATGAAAAAAACCTTTTTTTAGGTTCTCGCAACTTAAGTGAGAAATGAACTTTCCCATCAATGTTGATTAGAAATCCTTTTAAGGGATGTAGAATAAAGCTTCAGCTCCCTTTTTCTCTGCCTCTCATCATAATCTTGCTGTATTTGTATCACAGGATTAGTCTGACAGGCAGTGTCAGATGAAAATGGATTTGTGGCAGATCCTGACAACGATGACTGCTTGTTTCACATAATAAATTTTGTTTAAACTGATGGTCTGAGCAGTTTAGATTTCTTTATGTGATAGCTCTGCTTGCAATGTGTATTGAGTAGAGGCATAGGATCATAGCAGAAAACAGGAAAGACTTGGTTTGTCCCTTGTGATGGTAAAACCTACGTGTTCCTGGAGCAGATGCTGCTGACTTTCTCTGCTGTCTGGAGCTGTTCCCTCCTTGTGCTGTCTGAACCAGTTCTGTTCTGTAAAAACGTTGTTACGGCACCAGTTGCCTCTTTGATTGTAGCCGGTAGCATGGCAGATCAAGAGCTAGGAAAGACCTAGAAAGGCAGGTGGAGTCTGTGGACTACACTGATATTTGGAGTCCAATATTAGATGCGTGACACTGGTTGGGGGGAAATGTGTGAATTTGGATAGCTTGCACATGAGGAAAGCTAGAAGAACATGTGGAGTTAATGTGACTTCCCTATAGTTTCCAAGCAGTTGGGGTAATCTGGGATAGTGTGGTTAATTTCTGCATTCTATTCTTGAGGGCGCTGATAGAGGCTTTTCTGTTCTGCTTGCCGTGGCAAGGCAAGTGTTGGTGAGCCTGGCTGAGCACTGCAGTGCTGCTTACTTGAGGAGCTGCCCAGTGAAGTGCCTCCTTGTCCTTCTTTTTGCTTAAAGGGATAAAGTGGAAGTAGTAGAACTTAAAGATTTGAATTTAAGCAGTAGGAAGACTGGAGCAGTGGCACTTACCTAGTCCCTTCCTGCACAGGTCCTTGTCAGTGACCAGGTTGAGTTGCACTCTAAAGCTGTTTCAGCTGACTACTTTATTTACAGCCCTTTCCTCACTACTGACTTTGCTGAAACTTCAGCTTTTATCAAATATTTTCATGTGAGTAACAAATAGAAGGTTTTCATGTCGGTATGACTGTTGATGGGAGAAAAGGGAAGACAACCGCGTGAGAAAGCCAGGTTGCTTCATTTGTGAAGCCATAAGATGCTTCACCGTGAAGGCTCGCAGTCTTGTTAATGCGTTGCCTGCTTTCTGGACAGGTGCTGGGGCTCTCCAGGGATATGAATTTTTAATATGAATTTGAGTGATTGGTGATGAGTTGCATGCTTTGTTGCCTTAGAGATTTTAGAGATTTACAAACATAAAGGGAGAAGTGTAAAAAGGGGGAGGAAGGGATGCTTTGCATTTGGTAAACGTCTCCTAACTTTGTAACAGGAAAAAGTAGGCTATCAAAAAAAAAAAAAAGGATTTTTTTTTTCCTTTTTTGTTAGTGTTTACATCAATTGATGCCAAGGTAAACCAGGAATGTGAAATGAAGAGTTAGGAATTGTAATGCAAGACAAGGAGTATTAATCTGTGTTTCAGGCAAGGGGAATTGGTTTGTGTAGTGCATGTAAAATAGCTGTAGGTAGGATGCAGAGTCCAAAGTGCTCTGAGACTTTCAGTGATTTTTTTTCTAGCCTTATCTAGAACATAATAAAATTGATTTAAAAAAAATAAAATATTGCATGCAGTTACAAAACACCTGGGTATCAAAGGCATGCCTAGTCCTGCCTCTTCCCTGACTTCAGGGATCGTTTAACCTTTCTGTGGTCAGTTCATCCCAGGGCTTCCGTAGGAGACTTTCTTTTTGCCGTGGTGAAGGGTGTGTGTTTGTTTTTGCTCTCTCCTCTTCAGAAGAGGAGTCCCACCAGAGCTGGGTAGAAGCAGGGCTGCCCTGAGCTCGCCCCTCTCCTGCTCCCGCACGCAGAGCTAGTGCAGGAGCCGCTGCTCTTATTTCTGTACCGCTCATGAGCGAAGTCCCCGGGGTCTTGCCGCACGGGTCCTGCGCGGTGCAGAGGTGCTGGCCCTGGTGCCTTGGCATGCAGCGAGGTGGGAGCCTGGCTCTTCCTCTTGCTGCGTGCCTGCCAGGAGGCTGGGGTCTTGGCCACGCTCTCACCTCAGTTTCTTTTGGACAATTGTATTACAGTTCAGTCATTTAAATATGAGGATTTTCTTTGGTATAAGGCATATGTAGATTCTTACATCGATAGCCATCTCTCTGCCTTTTTTCCTTTCTGCATGTGCACTTCCTTGTTGGTAAAGTGTATTTTGCGTGACAAAATTGCTTAATCAATGAGACCTACTCCAAAATTGCATTGGGATGAAATGGAGAATGTCCCTGAACCATGTGTGCTGAGCAGACTGTTAAAGGTAGATCTGCAGTGGCCAAGGCCTGCAGTTTCATGCATGTATGTGGGATGGCTAAAGATCTGGGTGGGCGAGGTGCTAGAAATCAGTAGCTCATTGTGGAGACAGCTGTAAATGTTACTGTGTGGGATGGAGAAAAACAGCCATAGCTGTGTTGTTGTTGTTGTTTGTGCTGCTGTTGGAGCCAAAAACTCATGCTGATACACAGTGCTCTGAATCTTAGTGGCCCACACAGAGGTTCCTGGGAGAAACCAAATCACACTGTGTTCTCCAGTGTCATACAAGTGAGAATTTGTTATTTAGTGGAGTAAGTCCCTTCAGCAGCTGAGAAGTTGCAAGGGGAAGGGGAGGAGGAGTTGGCTGCAGGCTTGTGGTTGTTGCAGTTGTGTGAGCATCAGCTCCGAGCCTCTGGGAGGGCAGTGTGGAGTGCAAGCGGAGCAGGGGAATAGAGGGTGTTGGCTGGTGGGAGCATGAGCCACATGGGAGTTCTGTAAGCAGGACCCTATGTTGATTTTAAAAAAATAATAATAGTACTGAAGAGACTGGTGTGTGAGGGTTGGCCTTAGTGACCCTTGGGTCTTCTCCATGGCTGTTAGTGCACAATCTGGAGATCTAGAGTGCTTGAAGTAATTTGGACTAGAGCGTCCCTCAGGTGTCCATGACCTTCAGTGTGGGCAGGTACCTGCCTATGCCCCTCCATAATAAAGGTACAATAATTGCATGCCAGACCGACCCGTTTCACATCATTTGTGAGTGTCTTGGCTTCTGAGCACAGAAGACTCAAGAGTTTCAGGTTGACTGTTACCTATTTCAGTCTCCCATTAAGTGCAGCTAGCTATTTTCAGATTTCGTGTTTTAGAATTTGACAGTTTGAATAATTCAGTGTTGAATCCGAAGTTAACGGAGGCAGGCAGGTTTTCCAAGCTGATACATCCAGGATAACTGCTGCTCAGAGGAAATAGCCAGTTCCCTTCTGCAGTATGCTGAGGTGTCGCATGTATCACTTTATCTGCACCCGCTTTCATCTGTGATTTTTACTGCTTGATCTGGCTGGATGCAGATTGTCTGGTGCCTGGATAGCTGCAATTGGCCCTTTAGGGGTATCTTACAGCTGCAGGGCCCCTTCCTACTTCATTTTTTGTCTGACAGTGATTTCACCCTTACTGTGGTGCCTGTGAGTCTGGCTGAGGAGTTCAGTTTGTTCTAGAAAGGGAGGCCTCTCTCTAGCTCTTTTCTTCCCTTCCTCCATAGTTAGGGCTCAGAAGAAGTCTGGTAATTGGAAGGCAATAACTCTTTTGGAGGAAGAGAAGCATGGTGAGTGCAAGAATAACCTTTGGTATTTACCCAGTAATAGATAAAGCTCACACTTGGAGAATAAGGTGAAAAGCAGCATATTAGGAGTTGCATTTTCATGCATGCTTTTTTACAAAACTCAGTACTTGATACTGTACTAATTATTTGACCAACCGATCTCTCCATTGCAGTAATGGTATATTACCAATACAAAACCAGTTTTCTGCTTTTTTTTTGGTGCATGAGTTTTTCTCTTTTTCACTCATTTAGCCTAAGAGATCCTTTAGAGAGCGGAGTAAGACATCTTTATTTTACTAGCTGGAATTGTATTCAGGGATGACTCAGAAGATGTCATTCTGCTTGCTATAGTTATTGTTGGCAAATGACTTCAGTGTTGGCCTTTAGGAAGGGATATTAATAATGAGAAGAGACTGGCTTTCATCTGGTTGAAGAGAGTATAAAGAACATATGAAAACAAGAAATCTGGCCATAAATCCTTAGGAAAGGGGTAGTCAAAAAATAGGATGATGAACATGCTTTCAAGTGTAATTTTACTAGATGACATTAGAGTTTTATGGTATAACTAGATTACAAAGATTAAAATAACTGCATGGGGTTACCATTGAATATTTCTTAATGACAGGTATTTTGTATTACATGACATCTGTTTCTTTTCTCTTATTTAACCATCTGTATTGTGGCTCTTGTTTGTTTGTTTTACTAGATGAGGGCTATTACCAAGGTGGAAAGTTTCAGTTTGAAATTGAAGTTCCTGATGCCTACAATATGGTGGTGAGTACTTGTCATTAGTCTAATAGTTGTCATTTTGTGTTTCCTTTCCACGTAATAGGACTTCAAAGAGAGCTTGGCATTGAGCCTGAAAAGAACTTCTGTCTGTTGCTAAAATTTCTTAGAAAAATCTTGGATGCAAGGGACATTCTGAGGTCATCTAGTCCCCTGCTGAGACCTGAAATAGTGTTAAAGTTGGATCAGGTTGCTCAGACTTTGTCCAGATGCCATTTGAAATTGAGGACAGCATTTCTCCTCTGGGCCCCTGTTCCAGTGTTTCATTACCTTTAGTGCAGATACTTTTTCTTACCTGGTCAGAATTCCCCTTGTTGCAACTTGTCTGTTGCCTGTAGTCTTCTTGCTGAGCACCTCTGAAGGAGTCTGCCTTTGTCTTCTCTGTAGCCTCCCGATAAGTAGTTGAGTTTGCAGTTGAGTTTGCTTCATTTTGTCGATACACTCTGTACTGTGTCCCACTTGGGACTCCCCAATATTGCAGATGCAATCTTGAGAATCCCACGGTGGTGAAACCACCTCCCCTTGACATGCTGGCTATACTCTTGCAATCTAGTGTTTGGTTAGCTTTCCTTGCCTCCAGGGCAGTATTCCTTGAGGGAAGAAGGGAAAAAAAGAGGAAAAAAGGGACGGAAAAAACGATGAGTTTGCGGCCTTTGGCAGAAGCTGCTTGGAAGAGCACGCTAGGATCTCCCTTCTGGCTGCAGTCTTCTTGTCTGTTATTTTCAAGACACACACTTAATGATTATTCTCATTAAAATGATATTACATATATGAAAGAAATAGGTATATGGAAGATAAATTGTTTCTTTCTAGGGTCTTCAAAATTGTGCTTGTAGTTCTGATATTGGAGTTTGAACATCCTCTACTATTTGTTCTAGAAAGGACATCAGTGGCATCTTTCTACTCACTCCAGCAGTTCTGCTTGTTCTCAGGCTGCTTGAGTATCTTGACTGTTTTAACAGATTTTCAGCAAACAGTTTCAGAGAAATGCTGTGTCTTATTGTGGAAAAATGAAAGCTTCAGACAACTTGCTCTTTTCAAACATGAAAAAAATTCAGTATTTCATGTCTTCGTTCTACTAAAATTTCTGACAAGAAGAGGTAGATGCACATGCAATAAGAATAACTACAGAGTTTGGAGTTTAGCTATCAAAAGAGCACAATTGGCCCCCAAAATGGGAAACAGTTAAGACAGAAGTCTCAGTCTCATGAATTACTCCAGACAGTCTGTGTTGTGGTGACCTAGTATGTGGAAAAACTCATTTGAACACACCCTGGTGTTTTCAGCTCTTGGTGCTGATAATTCAGGGCCCTCATTTTCGAGGGGCTGAGGAATGCGTAGGGGAGGATACTAGTGAAACATCTGAGAAGGCCTTTGACTCCTGTGTTTAGCTGCCTCAAGCCTAAATACAGCAGCATATATGTCCTGTAGTTGCAGTCACAGCATTATTTACATGACTGTTTATATATACACACAAAGGAGGTGCAGACTTTTGGAATTTTAATAGTTTGAATTCCCAGACTAAGCTTGGAGAACAGAGCATTAACACTAGTGGTTCAATAGAAAAGAAAGGCTGTTTCTCAAAGTGACAAAGATGGATTTGTGTTTTAAAAGATGCTTT